AGGAGAAGAGTCAAAAGAATCTTTTATTTTATCTTTATGAAAAGTTGCTAAAATTTCTTGAATTTTATTCTATTCTTCATTTGTTTTTGTATAACAATGTGGACACATCTGCTTTAAATTTTTATTTTTAATTTCTTGCCAAAGATTAAAAGTATAGATTTTTTCTACAAGTTGTTTATCTTTATATTTAGTAGATTCATCAAATTTACTCGAGGATTCATATTTACTTTTACTTTCATCAGAGCTTTTTTCTTTTTTTATCTTTGGATATAGTTTCAACTCTTGAAATTCTAGTAACATGTCTAAATTTAATAGTAATCTGAATTTTTATATCTTTATTTTTAATTTTTATTACTGATTTTTCCTAGTTAATTTTTGCTTTGGCTTTGGATAATCAGTTATTACCAACAATTACAGAATATATATCTGTATCTGCAACTACTACATCAATTGGTAGAGAATATTCACCAATTTTAATAGATAGGTTTTCTACTTCTCCTTGAGGTCTTTTCTTTTTACCATTTATATTTAACATTAAGGTTGTTGATAGTTTTGTAATTTTTAAGCCAATATATTTAAGAAAATGACTAGAGATAATACTTTTAGCAGAACCACTATCAAGAATAATATTGGTAGTGACTCTATTGATACTGGCTTAACAATATAATGCTGAGTTCTAAATTTTCTATTATTGGTATATTGAGCAGTAACTATAGATTCAGAAGCAGATTTGATCTTTTTCTTTCAAAGACTTTACTAAGTTCTCTTAAATATTTAGAATTTTCAGCAGCAGTTAGACAATAGAAATATTTGCTTTGATTTGTTATAAGTCTTCAACAATTAAATATTTTTGTATATTTTTACCAATTGTTGGTTTATGGAATTTTGGATCTTGTAAAGAATTTCTTTTCTTTTTAGCTTTAGGTGTTTTAGAACTTTCTGCTTGAAGGTTATTTACTACAATATTTTGAACCTCTGGAGTTTTATTTTCTTCTACTACTTTTATTTTTTTTCACATATGCTTCATTAATATTATTTTTATCTTTTTCTTTTAAATAGATTATAAAAGGGTTTGTATTGTTTTGAGAAGCATTAGGACCTTCTGTATTTACTGACACTGATTTAAGTTTAAATATTATAGGAGAGCAGCTAACTGTTGTATAAGTTGATTAGGATTATAGGATTGGCCAATCAAATTTATATAAATGTCAATCAAATTTGGCACATTACACAAAATTTTATTTTGATTCATCTTAGATATCTCATAATCTAGTGATCAGATTTGGAAGATTTTGATACTATTTGAATTGTCTTATTAAGATGATTCAAATGATACTAAAATCATTCAAATCTAAGTACTAGATCATGAGATATCTAAGATGAATCAAAATAAAATTTTGTATAATATGCCAAATTTGATTGACATTTATATGAATTTGATTGGCTAATCCTATATTATTATTATTATTAGAATTATTTTGTAGTTGATTGTTATTATTTTGGACAGGGTTTGAACAGTTATTATTTCTAGATTAATTATTTCTAGGTTGATTATTATTATTTGATAGAGTGTTATTTTGTTGGTTATTATTATTTCTTGGATTAGAACAATCCCATACAATATCTCCAGGTTGAAAACAATTAAAACAAACAGGTTCTCTTTGATTGTTATTGTTGATATTATTATTATTATTATTTTGGTTGTTTTTTCTAGAATAGTTATTGTTTTCTAATTTCTTTTCAATTTTCTTTTTAAGATTTTTTATATATTTAGTGCGAGCTTCTATTATAATTTTAACAGAATTAGAAGATATAGGAGTTAGAGTAAGAATATTATTGTTAAGATTAGAAGTAATATATATTGCAACACCATAGCAAGTAAGTTCACAGATTTTTGCTCTATTAACTACTCTATTCCAAGTATTTTCACCAAATAGACATACTGCTATTTGTAATTCTATTCTTAAACTAGTAATAAATTTACAGATTTTTTCTATTTCTTGGTAAACATTGGTATTCAATAATATAATTCATATAGATGTATAGCATATTGGTCTACAGTTTTATATGGTTCTTGTATATAGTGAGTTAGTTTAGTAGCCCAGATATCAATAAGAATAGAAGTATAAAATCAGTTAAAGAATTAAGGTTTAAAACTATTAGCTTGATTTGGCATATCCCAGTATTCAAAAGCTTTTTGTTGATTAGCATTATTATACCAAATTGCTGCTTTATTTTTGAGATAAGCAAAAATAATTTGTATTCAAATTCTTCAATCCAAGTAACTAGATCTTGATTACCATCAGCAAAAGGTATAATTTTAATAAGTTTGGTTTCTCTTTGTTCAAGACGATTAGTATTATTTGTAATAGCATTTGTTTGATTTTGAATCTGGTTATCTAGTGCTTGTAATCTATATTATTATTTGGGAATAATAATAATAAGGTAATAGAAGGAGAAGGTACAAGAGTTTGATATAATTATTTTAAATCAAATTCAGATAAGTCAGAAGTTTCAGAAGTTTCAGATTCTACTTCACTATGATTATAAAGAATTAAAAAGAGATCTAAAGTAAATCGATTTGTTTGAAGATAAGCAGTATAGATTTGAGTAGATAAGGAGTTAAATACTAAAAAAGTTAGGCTTTGTTGATATCAAATAGTAAAGATAAGATTTTTAAAATATTTTAAAGTTAAATTATCAATGTTATATTCATTAATATCTTGAAAAACTAAAATAGTATAACAGGAAATTCTGCAGAGAAACAAGTTCAAAAATTAACAAAAGAAATAATTATTTTTGTATTTATAAGGTAACAAATAAACAATAATAATTAGGAAGATGTTAGGTTAAATAATCAAAAGTATCTGGATTTAATATATGTTTGTTATAGAATCTATTATACAAATTATTTCTTTATTAAAATAGGTTAAGATTATTAGTCATGCAATAGTTAATGAAGTTAAAATATTTATGAGAGAAGTTAAAGTGTTGTTGGTTAAACATAAAATAAAGGAAGATAAATAAATTTGAAAAAGATAAGATAGAAAATAAAGTATTTTAGACTAAAATAAAGATAAATAAAGAAAATAATAAATAAGAATAAGAAATAAGAAGATAGAAGTTAAGAAGTTAGAAGAGAAATATGCAATAAAAGAGATATAATAAAAGAAAACTAAAATAGTAGAGAAAAATATCTCTTTTAAATATTATATTTCCACCAAGAGAAAATGTTATTGCTCTATTTTTATGTAATTAGGCTTGAGGTAGAATTTAGCAGAAAGAAGCAATAACTAGCAGTTTGAATTTAAAGAACTAAAGCAAAAAATAATATTTAAAAAAGTAGAATTTTAATAACAGAAAATAAATAGAGTAGAGTATAACTTTATTAGATTCACGAGAGTCCAAACTTAGTTCAAGCAATACAGCAAATACTATTAGACTCAGAGAATCCAAACTTTATTTACCTTAAAGATATCAAGAAACAATAAAGAAAATAACAAGAAAGAAAATAAAAACTCAAAAAAAATGTTAATTTTTAAGAAGACAATAATATTTTATTATTAGTAATCAAATTACAAGAACTTATTTAAAGTTATATTGAAAAAAGAAAAAGAAAAGCTATTTATAATATTTTAGAACTATGTAGATGTTAATTTAATACCTATTTATCATATGAGCATATAGAGTTATATTGTACATCATATGTTACATTTAATTTAAATTAGATTATACTAATTAGTAAATTCTAGAATATTTATCAAAAATTGCTAATTACTAAAAATTTTACTATGATAATTAATCTAGCTTATTAAGACAAAATGTTCTATAACCCAAAATAGGGTTATTGATATGCAGTAACAGGTTTTAGTATTAGTTTTTAAGATATTGGCTTCTAAATATAAATGTTTCCTATACTCACTTATTAATTGCTAATATAATATATATAATATAAATAAAAATAAATGATAATACTGATGATATTAATATATAATAATAATATAGGCTAGATGCTATAGAAAAGGGAGAAATTGACAAATTTATTAAAATTAAATTTTTTATATAAATTAATTTAGAATAAGATCAAGATTATTTTTCACTTAAGATACAAAAGTAGTTATATTAATAAAATTTTGTAGTGTAGCTCTTTAAAATTTGTAATTCTTTATAATTTATTATAAAATTTATAACATAAAAATTGATTTTTTAAAGATTTTTTTTTTGTTGATTTCCTCTTCTTTTCTATAGCACTCAGTCTATATGATAATAAAATATTGATAAAAATATAATAAGAATATAATAAAATATAGAAAAAGAAAAGAAAAGAGAAAAATATTAAAAATTGATGAAATTTTGGGATACTACAGTATAAATTTAATATAAATAAATAAGAATTTTAAGCTAAATATAGTAAATTTGAGTAATACAAATAATAAAATTTATGTTAGTTATAATGAAAATTTGATATTTTTAGTTATGTTTTAAGTAAAAATAGATTGGGTTATTGTAGGGTAAGGATTTACAGTAATTTGTAATTGTGTAATACAGTTGTATACTATTTTGTAAAGAGTAAGTTTGTGTTAAATTTGTATGCAATACATATTTATACAAGTGCTGTATAAGCTAAAATTGATTTTTATAATATCAGGCTAGTTAAAAAAGTGATGTGTGATTACACAAAAAGCATGTATAGAGAAAAATTTGGAGATAAAGAGAAAAAATTTTAAGAAAAAAGTTTTAGAAAAGCAAAAGTTATTTTTAACTATAATTTTATCAATATGAGTTCTATAGGCTTTATTTAAAACTTATTTTAATCAGAAAAATAAGCTCTATAACTTTGGTTATGAATATAGATTAGGTTCAGAAGGTAGTTTAAGAGAAATAGTTAAAAGTTTAGGTTAGGTAACCAAAGACCAAAATTGTTTATTAAAAGATTTAAAAGTTCTAAAAAAATAAATATATAAAATTCTCTAAGTATTATAGTTGAAAAAAAATTTGGATATAATAATATAAATAATAGTTAAAAGTTTAAAAATATTTTAATACTAATCTCTTTATATTTTGATAATATTTAATATGAAAAATTTAACTATTTTTTAAGAAATATCAAAAATTATTTGAAGTTTAAAAAGAATAAATATAACAAAGATATTTATTTAAATTACTAGTTATACAAAGTATTATAGACTATAATACTTTATGTAACTAGCAATTTGTAGATCACTATCTTCACATCTTTAATTCCAAATATTTTGGGATCTACTAGATCAATTTAGATAATCTAAACACTATTAGAACTATAAAACCTCCTCTACAACTTTAATTAGAAGCCCAAAAGAGATTAGCTTATTAAAAACTTTTTTAAGTTTTAAAAAATATTTTTTAAATTTAATTGGTTAATTAAAGAAGTTTTTAATAAGCTAACCTTTCTTGGGTTTCTAATTAAAGTTGTAGAGAAGGTTTTTATAGTTCTAATAGTATTTAGATCATCCAAATCAGCCTAGTAGATCCCA